ACAGTCTTGATGTAGAAGATACAAGCTTTATATTAGTCTAAGAACACTCTTAAGGTAGAAAATAATAGCTTTATATTAGTCTTAGAACAGGCTTAAGGTAGAAGATACAAGCTTTATATTATTCTAAGAACAGTCTTGATGTAGAAAATACAAGCTTTATATTAGTCTAAGAACACTCTTAAGGTAGAAAATACAAGCTTTATAGTAGTCTTAGAACAGGCTTAAGGTAGAAAATACAAACTTTATATTAATCTTAGAACAGTCTTAAGGTAGAAAATACAAGCTTTATATTAATCTTAGAACAGGCTTAAGGTAGAAAATACAAGCTTTATATTAATCTTAGAACAGGCTTAAGGTAGAAAGTACTAGCTTTATGTTAGTCTTAGAACAAGCTTAAGGTAGAAAATACAAGCTTTATATTAGTCTTAGAATAGGCTTAAGATAGAAAATACAAGCTTTATATTAGTCTTAGAACAGACTTAAGGTAGAAAATACTAGCTTTATATGAAGCTTAGAACAGGCTTAATGTAGAAAATACTAGCATTATATTTAATCACTAACGTGACGCAAACGTGGGACATGGAAATGCAGAGTCTGGCACACTTCTAGATATGATTAGGTTATTTACTCAAATAGTTAAGAAACAGGACAGCAGAATAACGTGGAGACAGAATAGAGATTGTACATCGCGTGACAGACTATTACCAGAAAATGAGCGAGCTAAATCTCTTATTGTTATTTTGTTGTTGGTTTTGTTAGAAAGGAAATTTTCATGGTTGTACTTTCTTCACAATGCACAAGTCAAACATCAAGGTTAGAGAGAAAGTCGTTCTTTGTATCCTGAGCAAAAAATTACAGCAACAGGAGTCGTAGTTTAATATTTTGTATGAATGGGGAGAATCTGAAGGATATTCTGTCGTCTCCACAACCGAACAAAAGGTAAAGTCAAATCAAGTCGAAATCGAAAAGAAAGCGGACCGAACTTGCAATGAAATTTTCAGACGTTTCTTCTCATATGTTTTACACGTTTTCATAAGTCGGGCAACAGTGAATATTAATATTATTGTTCTATTACTTTAAATAACACAATTTTCAGCATTGATATACAATCCCCCATAAAGCATCACTACCACAAGGAGATTTAAAGATTTTACTTGGCTATCGAAAAAATTATATCGTGTTTCCACAAAATTGCCTAAACAATACGTGTTGATAGAAATGACTATATCATTTTTTTTGAGCAACTAATGAAATAACATATCGAAGCAAAGATGAACCTGATTAATTCATAAAACTCTACATTTTTCAGGTGATTTTTTATGGAAATATGATCACAGCATATTTTATGTTCATCATAAAGTCGTCTGATAGTCTTTTGTAAGTCAATTAATGTCTTTAGATAAGTATCAACTGGATATTTCAATAGATGAGGCCCGGCATGGCCAGGTGGTTAGGGCGCTCGACTCTCTAATCTGAGGGTCGCGAGTTCGAATCCCCAACCATCCACACATGCTCGCCCTTTCAGCCGTGGGGGCATTATAATGTGACGGTCAATCCCACTATTCGTTGGTAAAAGAGTAGCCCAAGAGTTGGCGGTGGGTGGTGATGACTAGCTGCCTTCCCTCTATTCTTACACTGGTAAATTAGGAACGGCTAGCGCAGATAGCCCTCGTGTAGCTTTGCGCGAAATTCAAAACAAACAAACAAACCATAAATATAATGAATTGTCAGAATCGAGAGACTTATAACGTTACACGATATATTCAAATAATGAAATTAAATATTAAAAAAACAAACAAAAAACATGTCGACAGTGACATGGTATTACGTCATTAAAACTCAATGCGCACAAGAATAAAAAAAACAGTAGAAATATTCTTTGACGTCTCTACTAACTTTGTGCGAAGAACTTGGAAGGAGTTCACTGGTTCTTTGGCCGTTCCGAACCGGCCTCCCTTCCCTATTCTTAGTCACCAGCTAACACTGAAAGTTTTTCCGACAAAAATTTTTGGGCATCTTCCATGCAGAAATTTTGGCAAAGGCTCAAACCTTTGCAAATGGAGCTCGAAAAACAAGTTTTCTTTTGAGCTTGTAGAGCCAAAGGGCACGGAGGACAGACGTTTCTGGCACCCCAAACTTCCTGGAGAACCATGTTGTGGTAGCTGTTCATTGCTTGGATTTCGTGTCTCTACTCGGAAAAAAGAAGCCGCCGGTTTTAAACCACCCACGCCGGGACTGTCGTGTAAACGATCCAGCGACAAGGAATAAGAACAACCACTGATTAACTGTAAAGATCGACACTACGAAGCATGTTGGATCATGACTGAATAGTCTATTCCGTGGGCGACAGAATTCCAAGCTTCGTTAGCTAGAGTTGGAGGCTTAAGAGGCTGTTCTCGTTAAGTTGATCACATCAGTCCTGAAGGTTTTACTTAAATAACTTTCTTTTATTATAGTTTTAGTGTTCTAGAAATCTGCTGATAAGAGTTACTTTCTAAAATGAATTTAAAGTACTTGTAATAAGTTGACATGTATTCCATGATGGAACGTGCGAACGATATGTTGATGATGTAGATAGTAACAATGTCATAGAAAATATTATGAGAGAACTTAATACTTTAGTCACTAATTATAAGAGAAAATTTTGACATTTCCCTTCCTAGTTATTAATTGCAAAAACAAACAAAAGAAAATATGACGTAACAAAGATTCCAAGAAAGTTTGTAAGGCTAAGCAAAGAGGAACGGAAAGGGTATAATGCGAAGGATTTTACATTACAGTCTCGTGGAATGTCAGTCGATAAAAACAAATTCTTGGGAAGCTTTCGCGACCTTATTTTTCATGTATAACTTTATGGAACACTCATATATACGGAGGGTTGAATACGTTATATTAAAACGATATTGCATAAGCAAATCAGAAAGCCACGTGACACGCCACCGCCAACATAGGATCGCGGTAAAATAGAATGTATCATAACTACATTTTGACATTGTTTGACGTTTCGTAATTGGAGTGATGCCTTTACGACGAAAAATATTCACACAGCTGGAGAATAAATTAGATATTCTTGCTACAATATACAAAGAAGACATATCGGTCATATCACCAGATGCAGTGTATATGGATTTCTGTGCGAGCGGAATCTTGAAATGGGCGCTAGGAAACCATTGTCCTCGCACACTACATGGCTTGTGGAAAGCAAGCAGGGAAGAATTAAGTGATACGAACATGACAAACTTAAGACGGAACCTTCTGTAAAGGTTAAGATGCAAAACCGTCAGGTACAACATGAACGAACGTGACGGCCTGGACTGTAATGACGTGATGAGGTTCTAAAATGGTTTGAATATAAACATATGTATATATATATATGTAACTACCAGTTCTACTTAGTTAAAGTGAATAAGGTGATGTATATCATATAGGTAATTACAGAGTCAAGTTGAAATATTTCATAACACGATAACATACTTTCAAACCATATATTCAATAATGAGCTATTATACACTCTGAGCTATGAAGTCCACCGGCCACTCCGCCCACTTTACACTGATAAATACCTCCACCTTAACCACAAAAGGTTATAAGATCATCTTTACACCTAACTCTGGAATGCATTCAGACACAAATAAATAAAATATTCACACTTTTAGAAGAAAGAAGTACTCCTTACTTTTGCCTACTAATTACATGTTAGTTTTTGTTAAAGTCTATAACGATTTCCATATATACAGGACAAAAACAAATATTCTACCAGTAACCAAAACGGATGATAATTAATACACAACTTTGCATTATCTCATTTCCATTGAGATTGTTCCAATAAATTTAAATTGTGACAAAAAAAATTAAAGTATCAGAATTCAACAACTCATCTCCAAATGAAGTCGTCATATTATGGGGAAAAAAAAGCAAAGTGGTACAGGGAATACCATCAGGCAACAATAGCAGAATTAACAATATTGTTATTATTATAAAAACGGGTGTAACATAACAATAATTGTTGTTGCCTAACATGTATAAAGTGTTATGTTTCAAGACTAAATATAATCAAAATTAAGGGTAACAAATATACATATATTTTTATTTCTTGTTTTCGAAGTTCATATGTCATGCTGTGTTGTAGCCTACAGAGTACATAATTCTTCTCGTGATTCATGACATGCGCATGTTTTACTGACGTCACGACAGTACAAATTGCAACGTTAAGCTCCCTATGTGACATCATTTTAATGTCTACCGACTAATTGACACACTACTGTATAGTGGTGCGAATGGTTAAAACAGGTGTGACCTTTCCAGGCGAGAGGGTTAAACACGTGCCAAATTAGTCATTTATCCCCTAATTCGATCCCTCCCTTCAAACTGTCAATAAGTACGATATTCATCACGACTTCATTCTAGAAAAACTAAAGAGAAATCTTTTAATATAAATAGAATTGTCTACTAAATCACGCGCCAAAACATTCGTTCCTAAAAATTGTGTTCGAGAGATATTAGGTGCACATACAACTTATCAATATTCCAGTATATTTGTTTAAGGTAAATCATGAAAAAGCTTAAATACTATTAAAACTTTACGTCAGTTATCTATGACGATACGAAGAAGTATGTAAAAAGAGCTCTGAAACGAGTATTAACCACGAATGATAAGCATGAAGTAGATTTATGTATACCAAAATTGTATGTTTTATCTTAACTTCTCAAAAAAAAATGTAGACATTGATTCGATACTTTTTATAATTTTAGTTTTTAAACTGTAAAAATAAAGCTATGTTCAAATTTAATATAACATGGAATTGAATATTAAAGACATAAATGTTAACACGGAGTACACCTTCTTCTTGTTAATTACATCAATAGTGAAACAAATTATAATAGGAACAATGATATGTATATACCCTAAAAGCTTAAGTAAAAGCTATTCGTATATATATATATATATATACACGCATACTTATCAATATTTATAGTCAACAAAAAGGCATTTTACTCACCTAGTAATATAATTTAAACTCATTCTTTTCCGGGGGACCCACTTGAGGGCGTTGCTGGACTCTTAACACTCAAGGCACTCATCTTCTGTGTTGGTGAAGACGGCTCAAACTCTTCTCTCCCTGGTGGCAAACCAATCACTTTCTCTCTCGGCGATTTTTCTCGAGGAGATTCATTGACATCTTCAAAACTAGAGCTACTGTCTGGGAGTTCGTAGCGCGCATGCGTTCTCATGTGGCGCGTAATCATGTCCCTTCGACAGGCAGCGTAGGGACATTGTGGACATTTGTACGGTTTCTCTCCGGTGTGGGTGCGTTGGTGCGTACTCAAATGGTCACTTCTGCTAAAGACTTGACCACAAACTCTACAAGTGTAAGGTTTCACTCCTGTATGTAAACGCATGTGACGAGTAAGCATGTCACTTCGAGCGAAACAGCGCTTGCAAACTTCGCACGCGTAGGTTTTTGCGGCAGCATCACTCTGCCGACTTCGATGTCTTGATGCCATATGCTTGGCTAGCCTGTCGTGCAACGAAAACATCTGTCCACAAATAGGACACACATACGCAACTTCGGGACCAGTGGCTCCTTCTACCTCTAAATTATATCTTACTATGGGGTTATCTTGTCTTAACATCGAACTTTCTGTAATAACTGAAGATGGGTGCGTTCCAAAGTGTCCCATGTCTGACTTTGGAATTAAAAACCCTCGTGTTGTTAATCCAGCACTAACTGGACGAGCAAGGTCAAACAAGGAAAACGAGTGCTCTTTAGTGAAATTGCCAGGAGACACACTCGCGCATTGTGTTGTATCCGGTATGACACTCACAGGTGCTACCATAAGACGCCTTGAACTGTGTGTTTTCATTGACAAGTCTAACGGAGAGTCCTGAGGGGTTGACTGATCTGATTCCAAGCTCCCTCCTTTCTGTACGCTTGGTATCCTTAAGGGTTTCGGAACCAGACGTCCATGTCGTATAACAGTTCCGTGTACTGCTTCTTGAAGGTGTGGCTGCGGTGTCACGACTGTCTGTTGTGGTTCTGAGCTTCCTTCCAACCACTGCTGGATATCACTGTCCGAATGGCTCCGTTGGCGGTAAAGTTCCGGTACGAATTTTTGCTGGAAAAACGTTTCGTAGCCAGGCGTAAATGGTGACACGGGGGTCAAAGGTGAAATGGGAGAGCTGGGCAGCATTTTCATTGTTTCAAATAGTGCCTTAGGGTGGCCTATTTCCTCCCAGGACGCGCCCAGCGACAAAGTATGTCCAAACCTTCCACTGGTACGTCCAGCCAATGTTCTACAGTGATGGCAATTACAGATTGGAAACGTAGGTACGGGATTTTCGACTAATGGTTCCTTCGGCCGAATGGAACCATTCCCCATATCAAGTGGCATGGTGATGGGGGTGGGATGGTGTAGATACGGTGAAATAAATTGTTTTTCTTCATGACTGAAAGTGGAAAGTGTGTCACCAAGAAATGGATCGTCACTTCCTTCTCCATCAGGGCCTGGACTAGGAGGAAGTTCCTGTTCTGTGGAATGGGATTCGCTGTCCTCTCGACTGCCTCCTGAAGCAGGAGGCGTAAAGAATCCCGGAGATGATTTCTCCCAGTTCTTTCCTCCTAACTCCGTTTCTTCAGAAATGCGCTGAAACGTTGGTTTCTTACCAGAGTCATGATAATGCGAACTGTCCACAGGACTTGACATATCTGAAAAGGCCGGCGTTGGTACACGAAATAATGGTGATCGCGGTGATCTCTGGCGAGAATGAGTCTCTAGTGATGTCGATTCGAATACGTGTTCAGTTGTTGGAGGCATTTCAACTACTACTGGATCTTTATATTCAGATGAGGATTCTTTTATCTCTTCAAGGTCAAGTTTTGTTTGTACAGTTATGCTGATATCAGAATCAATAGAAAGTTGTTTCTGGGGAGTTTTGGGAACTTTGATATGCCTAGTAGATACCACACCGGGTTTATCCAGATGCGATTCCTCTTCTTCAATAGTTCCTTCTTGACTGCTTAAAGTTACCTCTTCAGGAACACCTTCAACACTCCTTTTCTCAATTTGCGTAGCAAGTTTATCCACAACGGCACTTAAACGTTTCCTTTTGCGAGTGTTTGCAACGTCAACCAATTTCTTACCATCTTTTTCAGTACCACTGGTCATTGTTAGGCCTTGTTCAGCCATACTATACTCGGACTCAGGTCATCATCCATGCAGAGGCTGACCAAGTGACGAAAATAATCTGACGATTCAAGGTTAAGCTTCAAGAGATTTCCCAGATAGAAAATTTCCCTATTCCGTCGTAAACATTCTATATTCTAGTACAAGTGAACTAAGAAAGAACCAGTAAGATCTTGTTTGCTGCTGAGGAAAATTCTACGTCTGCGAGTACTTCTGAGGACTTGATTTTAATCTGGAAAAGATACCAAAATTATGTAAGAAAAAAAAAAAGACATTACAAAGAAATTTATATCATTCAGAGAATAAGACGAAAATTATCAAAAATAAATATGTTGATACATATGCACATCACAGTTTCAATTCCTACTGCCACGCTATTAAAATAGTTCACTTTCTATAAACGTTTGACAATAAAACGTTTCTCAACTATTTCACCTCTAATTCATCTGTTCGTTGATTAATGTCCCCCAAGTAGCTCAGTGGTAAGCTTCAATGGTTCAAATGCTAAAATTCGGGGTTTGATCCCTGTGGGCGCACAACTGAAATGGCCCACTGTCCAGCTTTCCAGTTAAACAAACAAATCATTAATTAAAAATAAAAGCTGTCTCCACCCTCCTTTTATTGGTCCTCCGGTGGGACAGCGGGAAGTCTACGGATTTACAATGCTAAAATCCGAGGTTCAATTCCCGGCGGTGAACGCAGCAGATAGCCCAATGTGGCTTTGCTCTAAAATAATCAAACCTTCCTTTTATAGACCAGCCTCAAACTTGGGTGTAGATTTAAAAGTTTAAGTGATGAATTAATAAATGTTATTGATTCCAGAGTGGAGAAATGTATACACAATAATTCAGTTGAAAACATATATATTAAAATGTTTACTACAGTTCCGTTACGACTGGCAGCTCATTACACACTTCACGAAGTTATTTGGGCCTTCAGACATTCACCCAAAAAAAAGGCTAACGTGTACCATAAGTGAACATCAAAATTGTTGTAAAGTTTTCAAACTTCCAAACAAATACTTTAACTGCGAAGTTGTTGTACAAAGTCATAACAAGAACAACGACTAGGACTGCAAAATCTAAATGTTTATTAAATTTACAAATGATAAAAATCGTGATTTATTCACAGACACATTTTTATTAAATATGTATAACTGATTCTTCATTTATATTTCAATATACTTCTTACAAAAGGGGTGGGGGGATTTTAACATAAACAGTCACTTTGGTAAAATTTATATTTATGTTGAATTTAATGGTAACTCATTCCCAATTTGTTAAACAGTATTATATAAATAACGTATGTCTACATAACCCCGTATTGATCTACTATAGCCTTTAAACATTCCTATACCATATCATTTGCTATTGTAGGTTCCTCAAACAAATTAAACAAAAAATTAAATAACAAATAAACTAAAAATAATAAAACATTCGACAAAGGTTTAGTAAGACTATCAAACTTTTAAAACCCCTAAAATTAATCGTTGTTTAATCTGCCTGTCTTATAAGAACTGCTTTATTACAGTGTTAGTTATTACTATGTATACTGAACTGGAAAAACAAAAAACAAAAAAAACTCCACAACTAATTTCACATACTGGATGCTACAGACAAACGGCCCTTAACGTTTCGCATTTATCGTATAATCTACCAGACACTCGACAGCAAATAACAATAATAATACGTTAGACTTTTCTTCAAACAAATATTATTAAGCAAACGCATAGCATTTTGTTTTTGTTAAGACTGAAATTTGATTGTGTAATACACCGAAACTTCTCTGAAACACCAGTTTAGGCTATTTATTCAACTCACAATGAAAACATCAACAATGAATCAGAGGTATAATTCTAAAGTTTTTTGTTCAGTACTTGTGGCAATACTTGTTGATTATATTAACACAACGTACAATTAAAAACAACGTTCTTTAATAATATTCTAATGTGCAAAGCGGACAAATATATTTTTATTTCAGACCAAAAAAGTCAGCGACACATTTTACGACTAAGTAGATTTTAGGCCTAGCTTATGTAACGTCACTGTCTTTACGAGTCACAAATGCAAAATATTTGATAAAGAAAGAACACTGTTTGAAACAAACTCACTGACAAATTGGCTTACCAAATATTCATTATCATCTGTGTAAACATATCTAAACATTTTTTTTCTTAGAACTTTTCACATAAACAGCCTATCAGGAACAACAGACGTCGTTAGTCTTAACACACATCAACGCAGACAAGATATCTCATCTGCTTTGTTCAATCAGGTTTGCCCTTGCATCTTTATATATATCTAACACTAAACAAAACAATACCATTAAGAGCCTACTGCGGTGATGTGTGAAAATATCATAACTACTAAATTTAAAACCTTATCTATCTTTCGTAGTTCCAACATACTTTTAACAGACGCAATGGTCGCCGTTTATATCTTTATACGAAGTTTAAGAACATATTTCACGTATCGTTTCCAAGATTTTCGTTTTTCATATTTCTTCTCTTGTAACAATGTCTTGCAATGCTTATGATTTTTTAGTTGAAGTAACATTTGTCATGTCCAGAAAATTTGTCGAAACAAATTATAATTATTTTTTTTTATACGTAACTTTTAACGGTCGACTATATATATATATAATGCTTTACACCATTACAACATCGTATCATATGACCGATTACATTGATTGTTCTCTCAAAAATTCTACATCCTGGCAATAAACCATACACTTTATTAATACATTTCATCAATTTATAATATTGTTGTTTTAAATTGTTGTTTCTTTTAAGTTTTCATTAGCAATAAATTTCGGTGTATTCTATTAAACAAATCAATAAAACGTAACAAACATCCCGCGAGTCCTAAACTGGCGTCAGGAGCTAATTTCGGAGTCTCACATGCGCGCGAATATCGGAAAACCAGGACGTCTGCTGTACTTGCGCACGTACAAGTAAAGCTCTCTTTTCAAATGATGACGTATTTACATGCCAAAGCTTACACTGCTATGCTAGTTGCACTACAGTTTTAGTAAATGCTCCAATTCTTGCAGTGGGCTTTTTACACACCAATGTAAAACAGTTGTTTTATTATCTTTTTTTTTTTTTATTATAGCCGCTCTACCAAGATTATCAGAGTTTTCTAGTGCACCCAACACAACGATATCAGTACGTAATTCACGGGTGAAAACTTCCCGTGGACAAGCGGTCGTCCAATATATATTGGCCGTGGCTTGCTCTCTACCCTTATAACTTTAAACACGCTATTAGACAATTCGCACAAGTACTTCAGTATGAACACTGCAAGTCGTAAAATAGCCAAAGAATAATTTTGAAATGTACTGCCTCATAGAGAGCATAATTGGAACAGTTACTGTTCCAGCTGACTCAATACAGCCATCCGAGTTTTCTACAGATCCTGTGCAAGTCACATGTCGTTTTAAATATCTTCTGATGAGATACTTTAATTTTTTTTTTTAAACTTGGCCAAAAAAAAATATACCACGTGGGTAATTCATATGTTCGAATTCCTTACAAATTTCGTTACTAGTGGTTAAAAAAAACCATTACACTTTTTTCCCGAAACAGCATTTGGGGGAATCAGCGATAAAAGCGCAATCTACATTCATGTAAAACAAACAGCGTTCGACAGTAAACATGATTCCTACCTGATTCTGTATAAGAATCCTTCGTATCGAAGTTACGATCACTAACCACCACGTGTTGCCTGTCTTCTGTGTCCCCCACCTTCTCTCACAGAAGTGAGATTCTCTCAGCGTGGTCTCGTGAAGCCACTGACGGCCGCCTCCACCGCCGCAAACGGAGGCCCCCCTTCCATTCCCTATCCCCCTTCCCCCCACTCAACCCGGGCACCAACCTACCTGAGCAACGGGTGGTTGGCTCCCTACTACCCCGTCCTACAGCGCGTGTTGAGTCTCCTCCCCTTCCCTATACATTGATGAGAGACGTGTTGGTGCTCTCACGCGACTCTCCCCGGACGGCGATGAGTTAAACTAACGTGTTCGTCTTGCTAGCTATTAGTAACGCTAGTTTCCAGAAAGAGTTAGCACAATTAACCAATTTTAAAATTTTCTCTATTGTGAATTGCTAAAAGGTGCCGGACGCATCGCCAAGCTACAAAGCCCTATAAGCTAACAGACAGAAATGACAGTGACAAAATGTTAAATGTTCCAATTATCATTAACATGTAAAATAAAAATAAAATACTTTTCTGTGACAAGTAAACAGCGGAGATGTGAGAACCTTGACCTGAACTAAGGACTCCGATTACATGAATTTCAAATTCACATTTTATCTTAGAATATATTTAAGCAAATTTAAGTCTTTGGTATACTGGATGAGTCACTCTTTTCCAGAAATCAAAGAACACGAAAATAGAGGCAACACGACAAACCTTTCTTCAGTATTACTGAACCAGTTTCATATTACGAATATTCAAAATATCTTCCGACGGCTATCTACAACCGAACTGTCTGTCGAGTTGCTACAAATTCAGAGAGTTCGTCTCGTGCACTTGTCTACGTATATATATCCCCCTACACTGAAAAAGTTACAATCAGAATGGGCCCGGCATGGCCAGGTGGTTAGGGCGCTTGACTCGCAATCTGTGGATTCGAATCCCCGTCACACCAAACATGCTCGCCCTTTCAGCCATAATAAAAATTACTTCCTTTATAACTTATGATCTGATGGTTAGGGGGCGCTTGACTCGCAATCTGAGGTCGTGGGTTCGAATCCCCGTCCCACCAAACATGCTCGATTTATGAGCCGTGGGGCGTTATAATGTTACAGTAAATCCCACTATTC